CTCTGCAATTCAATGCCATCATCAAATCCCTGCTGGATAGGCCGATGGCGTGTAAAAAACTGGAAGATTACGGGTAATTTAACCTACTTAAAACATTTAAGTAAGTGTCTATAATACATAAGGACCTTTGGAAGAACCCACTAGGAAAGCCTACCGTCGCAAATTAAATCCACCTTCTTACCACAGTGTGCGGAAAGTACAATTTGGCGACTCAATTTTTCAGTCTCTAAGGCGTTAATGGTAGTTTTCGAAAACATCTTCGCGGGAAAACGTTTTTCTATTAAAGTTGCAAAAATTCCCATCGGAGAATTCAGAAGAGTAGTTAGCGGACGTACGTAGGCTCCCGATAAATTCTCATGGGGCAATTAAATTTCTGTGGGAACGGAGTACAAGTTAAGCAAGCGGTCAATAATTTTCGTCTTTTCTTACAAGAAAAAGGAAAGAACATTATTGACTCGTTCTCGTAATACTTAAAGTTAAATGAACTGGAGTTAATTGTGGGTAAACGTTATTTCTGACAAGCTCTCGTGCCAGCACAACCACCTCATGTCCTTTGAAATCGCATTCCGCACACGTAGGCAATTTTCATGCCAGCACTGGGTGGCTATCTTCTGCGTCCACTTCCGCAACCATCTGTATTGCCGTCATTTTTCTTTTCATTTGGAAGGGTCGGGATTTTGAACCAGAGACTGATTTGCGGTGCAGCTATCCGTGGAAAATGGACTTGAAGGGTGGCAAATTTTAGCTTACTTGATTAAGCGATTTTATGGGGCAATTTGGCCCAACTTATCGACAAAGAGGCAGATGTGTTTGTTTGTGAAGGGGGGTCTCCGGGGTGGTGGTTAGGTTCCCCCCGTGCCGCTCGAAATAAGAATGGCTTATAGTCTAGACTGAATAGTACACCGGAGGGTGATGCAGTGAAAAAAACATTCATAGTCATAAACAGTTGGCTATTTTCTATCCACTTCTTTGTAACTGCTGTGGGTGTAGTCGCATTGACAATTATTATCAAAAAATAATTCGAAATTTAGATTCAAGGTCAGTTTCAGTTTTTTCAGTTTCAGTTTATTTGGTGAGGATAATAGGCAATGCCTT